GCCCTCTTCTGGTCACCGTGGGTATCAGATATGCAAGTGGTGCATAGATATGCATGCATACACATAAAATAAAAAATGTGGGGGAAAAAAAGGGTGGAGAAGTGATTAAAGAAGGCACCAATGTTACCCTCTGGCTTCCACGTGTGCCTCATGGTCAAGATCATCTGCAAACACACAATACACATTCATACACAGACCTATACAGTACACACACACATACACACACCCATGCATGTGTATACATGATACATATACACAATACACATATATTACAGATAACACATACACATGTACCACACACATATACGCATACCACACACACTTTTTTTTTTTTTTTAAGGAAACGGGAAATAAAAACACCAGTGTGTGTGTTAAGTACCTTAAACCTAGGTATATTAACGCATCAGATGAGTTTGCTTGGTTTGTTTCTTGTCAGGCCCTGTGTTCAGTACCAGGATGAAGCAGTCCCTAAGACAGACATAGTTCCTTAGTACTCTGGGTCTCTAGGTGTGGACCACAAACACAAAAGTAAACAGCAGTTGTGTAACATATTAGTGTTTGGTTAGATGAGAAAAGTCTGCCTCAGGAAAGCTTGCAGGCCAGCCCCAGAGGAGGAGAAATCTCAGCGGCTCATTCAGTGCTGGCAGCAGGGGCTGATGATAGGGAGGCGCTGAAACAGAAGCAACATGGGGATAGCTGAAAGGTCACAGAGAACACGAGCCCTTTCAGGAGCATTGTTGAGCGTGAGGTATTTTCTGCCATCCCTTGTGCAAGGGGCAGCCTGGAGCCATTGAATGAAATCTTTTTTTTTTTTTTTTTTTTTTTGGTTTTTCAAGACAGGGTTTCTCTGTAGCTTTGGTGCCTGTCCTGAAACTAGCTCTTATAGACCAGGCTGGCCTCAAACTCACAGAGATCTGCCTGCCTCCTGAGTGCTGGGCTTAAAGGTGTGTGTCACCACCTCCCAGCAAGTGAAATCTTTTAAATGCGCATTTTTAATATTTGCTAGAGTTGGAAGCAGAAGGAAGTGTGATGGAGATAGGGATTTTACAAATGCTGCTGCTTTTGAGATGAGCAGTAGCAGCTCACAAAAGCTCTGCCTAGCCAGACCCAGTATGTTCAGTGGAAGACATTTAGCATTGGGAGATTTCCAAAGGTTTGGTAGAGCTAAATGAACAAATGACAGACAGCGAGACAATGCCCGGATGATGTCACTGCCTTCTCAGAGAGGTCAGGAGCTGTGGCCCCTTCCAGGAGCTGGAACCATAGAGTGATCACAGCCCCTGAAAACCACGCCAGAGGGAATACCCAGGCTTCTCTGCCCTCCTCACCTCAGTCTGTCACCTGAAAAACCACTGGGCACAAGAGCTAGCCAAGGCCTCTGAGAAGAGCAGCTGCCAGTCTGAGTGGAGCACAAAGAGGTGATAAGTACCTGAGAGTAAACAGGCAAAGAGCCATGTTTCAGGAGGCAGGTGGGTTAGAGAGCCTAGTGGCCTCCTGTTGAGTCATTGCGTTAATCTGAGGCAGCCTCCCCCTTGGTGGAAGGGTGGTGCATTTGACTGGAGCCTGTGTTGTTAGGGCCAAAGAGGTTTATTTAAAGAGAAAGATTCAAATTCAGCAAGTAGTCATGGTCCCAGTGTCCTAGTTGTCATTTGTCCCCATCCTCCCTGTCCCCTGTTTGCAGACCTGGGTCATTTGTTTTATTGGAGAGTGGGGAAAAGAGAAGCAAGAATCCAGTGTAGCTTCTGTGTCTCCAAGAGTCCCATGAAGGTGAACGAACTCTGCCATTTCTGGGCAGCAGTGAGCCGCTTCTCAGCCCTGGTGTTCTCGCAGAGTACATACAACTTTGGATTTCTCTAGCAATCTATGTGCAGGACAAGGTTATGTGTGCCTGAGATGTACCCCAAAATACAGTGATGGGAACTGGCTTTTCTCTGTGCCCTGATTTCCTCTCTCTCTTTAATAGGATGGTGACATCATGGCCCCCCTTATAACTCCTCGGAAATGGCAGAATGATGATCCAGGTTGCTGCCGAGAAGCATCCAAAGCCAAAGCCCAGCTTTTTAAGTGAATGCCTGCAGTCAGTTCTTTATGCAAGCCTCTTCCTCTCTCCACAATTAAGTTAGGAAATATAATCAGAATCTACTAGTGATTTTTATTTAGTGTTTTGAGTGTATGCATATGCTGAAGGGTAAGTCATTTTATTCAAAACGAAAAATGGTAATATTAGCATGAGTTTGCTATGCTTCCTGTGGAGGTTTGGATGAGAACAGCCACCGTAGTCTCATATAATTGAGTGCTTAGTCACCAGGGAGTAGAACAGTTTGAAAGGATTAGAAGGATCAAGAGGGGTGGCCTTGTTGGAGGAGGTGTGTCACTGGGGGTGGCCTTTGAGGTCCAATCTCTCTGCCTGTGGGTCAGGATGTAGCTCTCAGCTGCTGCCATGCTCCCCACCATTATGATAGTGGACTAAGCGTCTAAAACTGTAAGCAAGCCCCCACTAGCTGCTTTCTTTTGTAAGAGTCGCCTTGGTCATGGCGTCTCTTGACAGCAATAGAACAGTGACTAAGACACCTACTATGAAAAGCATTAGCTTGTGTGTTTTTAGCATTATTGAAGCTTTTCTCCTTTAGCTACCTGTTTTCTCAGGATAACTCTTCCATCTATTCTGAACTCTTAGGACAAATGATTGCCTTTTGTTTTTAATTTATAAATTGAGACAAGGGCACAAATTGGAATTCAAAGTTGAAATAAACAAAATCTTAGACCCCCCCCTGAGAGGCGCCCCTCACCCTGCTTCTCCCAGGAGAGAGAGCCACCGTCCCCTTCCATCCCTGCTAAGTGCTAGGCTGGGGGAGCATCGGACAGCTCTTTGTTGAGAGGAGCTGAGGCATGCCAAGCGATTCCTCTACCACTGACCTGCCGCTCTGCCCCCTCTCCTAGTCTAACCCCCTGCCTGCTATAGGAGGTGCTAGGGTTGGAGGGTTCCTCACACCAGATTGCTCCGAGTCTGATGTGGCTCCAGACAAGATCAACTTCTTTGTACTTGAAACCACTCCAGCCCCAAAGAACTCACCACAGCCAGCCGGGGACAAACCTTCTTCCACCTCCTCTGAGTTGGATTGCTCAGCTGTTCAGACAACGCCACAGACACCGTCCTGACTGCTCTCACTTGGAATTTCACCACCACTGCTTCATTGTGTTTACGGGTTTCAGAATATTCCGGACTGTGTTTGTGAGCCTAGTGGTCTACATGGCTCGGGTCCCCCCATGTAGCTAGCTGTTCCTAGCAGTGCAGAGCCGTCGAGGTTGCGCAGACACCCATGCTGCTCCCCTCACCTGCGCTGTGCACAGCTTCACCAAGAACCAAGTCTAGTTGGAACCGAAGGGGGTGGCAACCAGAAGTGCTGGAGATGTGGAGATGCGGGCAGTAGGGACCGAGGCAGGAGCTGCAGATGACATCTTAGTCATGACACTCCCCTAAATGAGGAGGCAGCCCTGGCAGCGGGCAACTTGAATACACCGACAGGTTGCTGTGCCACCTCTCCCCTCTGGGTAGCCAGGTTCTATTTTATTCACTCATAGGTGAAAGAGTATTTGGTGTGTCTGCCTCTGAGCTCATAAACGCACAAGGGAGGTGCTAGCTCGCCCCCGCTAGCCACATGCCTCTCTGACATTCAGGGAGATGGCCAGAGGCTCTGCCTTCGTGTGCCCAGACTTGATGTCAAGAATGGTATAGTTTTCTGCTACTATTGCTTTATTTTTGCCAGTCTTATTTTTAAATCCTTGTGGTTTTTTCTGGCATTTTGTACCTAATTTTGTACTATGATATCCGGGAAACAATGCGCCCCTTTTATGCACAAGACAACTATATTTTATGCCTTTGAAGCTGTTTTCATTGTTGAGTACCTGTTTTCAAGATTGCATAAAAATGGAGATTTTTAACGGCTTGGCCTCTAAGTTACTGAACTGTCTGCTTGCTGTAAATAGGACCACAGATTGAGTGATGGTGACTTCAGCTGGGTGAGGGAACCCGCTGCAGTGAAGCTGTCGTGAGCATGTTTCTATCTTGAAACTGGAGGCATGCTCCTCAACTGCCGTCTCCTTACACCTGTGTGCCGGGTCTGGCGTCCTTTGCAAAGACACTTCATGGTGTCCTACCACTGTGTTGGGTCTGCACACGGTGGCATTGACAAGGGCCCAAGTACTTGGTTTTTCTCACAAAATAAGAGCAAGATATAGTTTGCTCCCTTCCAGCAGGAGGTTTCCCTGCATGTGACTGGATGGTGGAACCATAGTTAACAAGGCTCTTGTGCCTGAAAATGACCTCCTTCCTCCCTCGAGCCCCTGGGGTCTGCAAAGGTTCAGCTTCTTTGCCCAGATAGACATATTGTTCATTTGTAGCTTTTCTCTCTCCCCCATGAAATCAAGTAACAGATGTGTGGGCACCTGACCCATTGGTGGCATCCAACCCCACCCATTGGCTTCTAGGAGAGACAGCAAGGCAAGGAGTAAAATGATGAATGCTTCTATGCTTTATTAGTTTCCAGTAGCTGAGCCCAGGTTTCGGAGGCTTGAGAGCATTCTTCAAGTAAAAGTAATCTCGAAAACATACAAAATAGAAATGTGTGTGTTTGTGTGTGTGCATGTGTGTACACACCTGACTTGTTTGGAAGGATATGGAAATGTGGCAGTGCAGGTTTTTGTTGTTATTTTGTTTTGTTTTTTGTTGGTTTTTGTTTGTTTTTTGGTCTTCTGAGTTCTCTAGAAATTGTCAAATCCTATAAAGACAGATGTCGTGCTTCTTCAGCAAGAGTGTCTTTCACACCTTCACATCAGCTCCGCTGTTCCTGCCCTGGGTTTTCAGGCCATAAGGAGGCTGGGTGAGAGCCACAGTCCACATGAGGGTTCTTCACCATCCTGAGTCAGGCAGAATGGCTGCCCTGTGTAGCAAGACCTGGGCAGCATCCAAAAGTGACCTGAGTATCCCTGATCCAGGGAGGTGTCAGCTCAGAACCCAGGCCTCCAGCTCCTCGATGCAGAATTGCTCCTGCCGGGCCAGCACTTCATTGTTGAAGGTGGCACAGGGGTAACTTCCCCCACGGTACAAGTCTCCATCCAGCCACAGCCCAAACTGGCCACTAAAGAGAAGAGGAAATGGGCCGTAGAGATGGCTCAGTTGGTACACTGTCTGCTACATAAGCATGAAGCTGCCTCCAGCACTAACATAAAAGGCTAGGCAGGTCACACTCCATCCGCAGCCCCAGTACAGGGAGAACAAAGGCAGATGGATCCCAGAGGTGCTGGCCAGCCAGTCTAGCTAGTCAGTGGGAGATCTCCGAAGATATGGTGGAGGTGGACCATGGGACACACCTGATGTCTTCTTCAGACACACGCACACACCAGAAAAGGAACTCGCACAGGTGTAGCCTATAACTGCCATCGTCAGCCTTAGCCGCATTACCGGTGTATCCCCATCATAGCTGTTCTCATCCCTATACAAATTTATCCAGGGTTGGGTCTCCTCGTGTTGTACTCTTGCATCCAGAGCATTTTTTAAACAATCCATTATTTTAAGTATAGACAGTGGTGCAGTCATCACCTCAACCCTGTTTTAGAGCATTCTAATCCTCAAATTTGACAGAAAACCTAGGCTGGAAGCAGGAAGTGAATTGGGAATCAACAATGGCTGGTGTGCCCCGCTGCCTCTCCATGGAGCTGTGCTAACTGGGGAAAGCACACGTTAGTGTGCTTCAGTATGGAGGTCACAACAAGGTGAAGCTACCCCGTTTCTGTTCCTAACTCGCTCCCGCTCACCTCCACAGATAGACAGGCTGTATTCTTAGCTAGATGCACGTCTTCTAACAAGCCATGTCCCATGGGACTCAGAAATCTGGGGCTTTCCCATTGCATGACTATAACTTCATCCATGTGGACATTCCCAGAGTCGGTTCAGGCTAAGATGGCACTAACTAGTTGGTCCATGCTCCTCGCTTGACTTAGAGGAGGGTTAGTTGCATGTGAGCCACTGGGATGGGCCAAGGGCCTGACGCTATAGGGCACTGAAGTCGGCCTGAAAGATTCAGCCTGCTTGCTCCACCCGCAGCCCCCTAAGGAGAGGAAAACAGGCCGCCCCAAGATGTAGGGTGACAGAGACACACACCTTCCACTGCCCATCATCAGTGAGTCCAGGTCTCCCTTCACGAAGAAAGAGTTACTTCCTGTCCACTTAAAGACCTGGGTGAAAAAGAAAGGCTGGGTCACTTTTGAGTGCTGCCTTTGCAGTCTGACTCCAAGCCACGTGGTGGCAGTGTTGTGCAGGAACCGGGAGCTTCTGGGCCCAGGGATTCCCAGGAAGGACTGGGCTCCCGGCCTTAAGAGTTTAGTTTCCTTAGGCCGTCTGTCTTGAATCCTCTACATCCTAGCAGCTCCTTCATGCTAGGAAAAAAAAAAAAAATCTTTGAGGCTTCCTGCTTTCAAAGATGGAAAGAGAAAAGGCCAGGCCTGGAGTTGGGGTGGAACTGCCTCCCAGCCAACCTATCTTGTGACCTGCAGGTCAGTAAGACTCACTGTGACCTCCTGTGACTTCTCTGTCCAACCCTCTGGGTCGCAGCCTCCTGTTGGTCTTGTCTCACACCATATACTGTCCCCCAGTCCTCTCTATAGTGACCTGAATGGCCCATCCCAAACCTAAATCACTCTGTGAGTCTGCTACCTACAGCTTTCTGATGCTCCACTGTGAAGGAAACAACCAGTTCTCCAGCCAGAGTGCCCCCCATCCCTTTTCTTTTCTCCATACCCTCTTCTCTCACAGACCACACCTGAACCACACTGACCTCTCTGTTCACCAGAGTGCGAAGGTGCTCCTGCCTTAGGGCCTTCCTACTCTCAGACCCCTCTGCCACAGCTCCCCACAACCCTGTCCTCAAGAGTCAATTCTTGCCCTGCAGTCTGAATGTCATCACAAAGAGCCCCTGTTTGATTTTCCTTGGCATCTACCCACTCTGAGACAGCTCCATTCCTGTAGGAAACTTACCCCTATTCACCCCTCTACAAGGTAAACTCCCGGAGAACTGCCAGTTGCCCTGCTAAACTCCTGAAATAAACGAGTGAATATTTAAGAGCCAAATTAGGCAATAGAAAGGCTTCTAAAGGGCCCCAAAAGTATAGTATATTGCTTCCTGTAATTAGAAGCCTCAAAGGCTAGGAGCAACCCCAAAGCCCCCGAGGAATAGAAAGATAAAGGACCAAGCTGGGAAGGAATGAGATAAAGTGAACAAGTGACCAGAGAAGACATGCTCCCAACACTTTCTCTGCTTTCTCCAAGGACACGTCCTAATTTAAAAGAGCAAGATAAGCATTGCTACAGAAGAAACTAAGACAAAGTTGGTTGTGTTGCTTGAACAGCAGTACAAGCACTGGGAATTTGTGAAGGGCACCAGGCCAGGCACAGACAAGGATTAAGGTTTTCAATGTATGGGATTCTTACAGGCTGGGGAACGGTGATCCCTTGAAAATAATGGATTTCAGCACTTACACAGCAGGCACAGTTAGGCATTGGGTAGAACAGAGGGCATAATGAACAAAACATCTGCTTCATACGACATTTCAGGAGGAGACAGATAAATAAGAGAAGTGCTGTGTTAGGAACACTAGCGAGAAAAGCACTGTGCAGAGGGACGAAGGATGGCCTGAGAAGAGCCACAGAGGAAACAAGGGTAGTCATCAAAGACACCCGAATCCCTGGCTCTGATGACAGGAACCAGCAGGAGGCTCCAACAGTTGGCACAAGAAGAATCCAGAGCTTTGAGGTCCTAGGATGTGCCACAGGAAGGTGGTGAGGATCAGCCTGCAGTCTTGGTGACCCGGCATCGCTGACCCCTTTGCTTCTCTCCCAGGAAGGGGAGGTGGCTACAGTTGATGGAGGCTGAGCAAGAGGGCAAATGCTTTTTGTCACTAGCAAGGCCATCCACACCCCTGTGACCATCTTGGTGTGAGACTGTGTGGCAGAGTGTACTTGCGGGTGTCTGTGCACTGGAGGGGACACCTCTAATAGCAAACAAAAACATCCAGAACTAGTTCTCCATCCGCCAAAGTGTGAACAAATAGTTCTTCAAGGACACACTAAGCAAATACATGGTCTGCCTCACACTCCGACCCTGTCCACCTCTGTGGTTCCTACATCCTCTGTCTCCAGAGTGCCCTGCCTGAATTCACACGCTGGGTCTGGGGTCCACATCTCCCTTCACCACAGACTGAGTTAGGTGGGTTACTCAACCTCTCTGTGCCTCGGCTCCTTCATCTGTAAGATGGGACAATGATAACAGTGGACCCATGTGGGATTTGTTCCCCTGACAGTGTTTCTCCATGTAACCCTGACTGTCCTGGAACTCACTCTGTAGACCACCCTGACCTTGAACTCACAGAGATCCACCTGCCTCTGCCTCCTGAGTTCTGGGATAAAGGTGTGCACCACCACCAGTCAGCTATGGATTTTTTTCCTACGACTGAATGTGCCATTTTGTGAGGTGGTAAATGCAGACCCGTGAGTTACTCTCATGTCTACTTACGGTAAAGGCTGTGTGCTCTGCCTGTCGCACAACACTCGGCGGCTTCAGTCGGTCAGCAACCCAATGACAGAAAAGGTTTATATGGAAGAAGCTTAGGACTCTGTCTCCCCTCTCCAAAAGCCCCAACTCTCCTGCGGCTTGTGCCCTCTGAGGCTCCAGACACCTGTGCCTGTCACTGATCATATGGGACCCGAGCACTGAATCACTCTCCCCATTCTTTCCCAGTTCCAGTTCCCCAGTGAACTTCATGGTCCGTCCATCCATCTCCAGCTGCTGTCTTCATGGTCACATCTGGCACTTGTCCCTAGCAAGGAGTGCAAGGAGCCCCTCCAGTTCATCTCAGATGGCCCTCCCCCTCTACCCACTCCTTCCTGTTGTCCTACACATTGTTCATTTGCTGTCACTGCTCCAAGTGTTTGACCTCAAGGAGACCCCTCCTCCATGACTGCGCCTTTGCTCACCCTTCATTCCCTCTGGCTTCGCTGGCCTCAGGCCCACTCTAGGCTCTGTGGTCCATTTCGTATTTTCGCTCCGTCCTACCCCTTTCTCATTGTTTCCTGTGAATGGGGCCTGCCAAGAGCTGGGTCTGAGAACACTGGCTGCTCTGGTACAAGCCTGGCCAAGGGAGAGCCTTATCCTTCTTAGAAAAGGACAGGCAGAGATGGCCTCTTCCTGCCACTGCCAGACTGGCATGCTCTCTGGGGCTCCCCTTTCCCACACACAGGGACTGTGCGACTCCTCTCTCCTCCAGCCTTCATGTGCAGACCTCACAAGAAGCCATTAGAAGCATCCTCCTCCTCCCACACCTCAGGTCCTACCTGCACTCAAACCCATCTTGTCCTCTCTAGCCTCCCTCGCTCAGCTCATGACTCCTGGAGATCTTGATGGGCAGCTGAGGGCACTTCCATGCCCACCATTGCCCTGTGGAGGAGTGGACAGGAGGCAACCCCACTCAGGGACTGAAGCTGGGGGCCTCTGGGATCCCCAGGGCTGTGACCTGTTGTAGCCTTCCTCTGTGACAGAAGGTGGGAACCTCACCTTTAGCTGTGGGGCGAAGGAGAAGAGAAATGTCTCGCCAGTACCGTAGAAGCCTTTGCTGAGTCGGATAGCTGAGGAGGAGAAGGCACCAAACATCTGGAAAGCAGAGAAAAGCACAAGAAAGGAACTGGGTTCCACCAGCCACCTTCACGGGGCTTGAAAATGCACCCCCAGTCTCCAGGACTCCAGGGGGAGCTGAGTGGAAAGCTGGGGACAGGGCATCTCCAAGGCCACCAGCCTGCCCTCTTTCCCACACTCCACAGGAAGAATCCATGCTGGTGGCCTCCCCTAAGTTGTTCTGACTCTTTGTTACATCCCCCCATGTGTGTCTGTCTGTCCGTCTGTCTCTCTATCTTTTCCTCTTCAGGCTCATGCTGTGTAACCAAGTCTGACCTAGAACTTAACCCCATGAGAGCCTTCACAGCCATGTGCCATGTCCAGTTTACCCTTTAAGAAAGTATGTCCATGTTGTATGAATGTGACTATGTTCATGTGTGTGCATAGGTGTATACACACACACACACACACACACACACACACACACACGACACTTTCCCATGCATATGAGAAGCCAGCGGCCGATAAGGTCTCTCCTCCTCTGCTGCCTTCCACAGGCTTTCACCACATCTGGAACTGACCATTGAGACTGGCAGTCCGGCAAGCGCCAGGCTCCTCTGTGTCTGCCTCCTAGTGCTGGGGTTACAAACATATCCTGCCACACCCAGCTTTCTACATGACAGCTGGGAATTGAACTCAAGTCCTCACGCTTGCACGGCAAATACTTTCCTGACCAAACCATTACCACCTCAGCCCCAAATATACTTATTTCATACAAGCAATGCCTCTCAAAGAGCTGCAATCATACACAAGCAGAAAGAAAATGAGGTAAGCCTTAGTCAAATCCCCCTCTTCCTCGCCGAGCTGACTTCTGTCGCTTCCTCCTCGCACCTGCCCAGTGCCGGTGCACAGGCTTTCCTATACCCCTACACCCCACACAAACTCTTCCCTCTCACTTTCTGCACCAGCTTCAAATGTACGGAAGAGCGAAGGGCTGGGGCTGGGGCTCTGTTGGTAGAGCGTCTGCCTGGCCTGTGCAAGGTACAAGGGGGAAACCCTGTACCACCGAAAAAAAACCACCTTTTAAAGTTCAAAACAAGTATAGATTCCTTCTGACTTTGAGCAAACAGGGAATTTGCTCTAGTTCACATACTGGCTTTAGTTTCTTAGGCCCACTTGACTGTGATACCATGACATTCGTTCCTAATGCACCAGCTCCCAAGAAAGGGGCTGACTCTCATATAACCCCAGTGCCATTATCACACCCAAGAGAATGAACTATAATCTTGGTATTGTCTATTTGTGTCGTTGTATCTTCATTTGTTCCCGATCAGCTCAAGAATGTACCTCACTTCTGGCTTTAAAGAGAAAACCACGCGTTTTATAGCTGTAGTTTTGCATCTTGCCTCTCACCTGCCTGCTATGTGTCTGGTTGACATCTTTTGTGGGACGGCTCCTGGGGTTGGGGTGTGGACTATCATAGTGTTACATGGGGGCGGTGGGGTGCAGCTTTAGGCCTAGTGCTAGGAGAAATTTCTTATAATACATAGTGCTCTACCACAGAAGAGACCCTGTCGGAACAGGGCAAGTTTCTTGGCTCTCGAGCACAAAGTCTTCCCAGGCAGACTCCTGTCTAGGTGGTTGGGACCCTTGAGACCTCTTCCAACTCTGGTATGTTCCTTCTGTAGTAGAGCATTTGAAACCAGCTCTCAGTTCCTCCCACTTTCTGCATGGAGAACCTGCCAGAAATTCTATTGTTGGAGTGGCCACGTGAACTTCAGGCAGAGCTATCAAAGTTCCTCTTTTGGCGTGTAGCCTTGGCCGTCCCCTCTGGCTTCCTCCAATCAGCTGGGGATATTTTCAAAATATGCCTCCATCATTTAGATGTAGATCGTCTGCTCAGCCTTTGCAAGATCCAGAGGTGGTGACATCTGCCTGTACTCAGCACTGAGGAGACTGAGGCAGGAGCATCTGGAGTTCAAGGTCAGCCTAGGCTACACATAGGGTTCTGAGCCAGTTTGTGTTTTAGTGAGACAGAATAAATCAAAGCAGCCCAGCCATGGTCTTGTGCTTGCAAACATAAGGATGCAGTTTTACATGGCCTCAGTGGTTGGTTGTTCAATGCCCCCCTCTAGCTCCTCCTCACCTCACACCCTCTCCACCCCCACACAGGAAATCAGACCATTAACTCTAAGCCTTCTTCATCATTTCTGGCTTGATCTCACTCTTCCACATCACCTAACCTGGCACGCAGAAGTGGCTTCAGATAGACGAATGAGAAAATGAGGGCCTGAAGTGGGTCAGGTCTCTGTGCCACCATCAGTGTTCCTGAGCGGTGATAGAATCTGTCATCTCTGTTTTGTGCTTCTCACTCTGCCCCAGGCAGTACCCACTTGTCTGGTTGGGAGCCCCCGTGCCCTGACCCAGCTCACCTGCCCATCCTGGTCTCTCAACACCAGCAGGACTGGTCCACTGTGACCCTCCATCTGGCGGTACAGTCTCCGCAGACTGAAGCCGTCCTTTGATGTGCAGAAGACCAGACTCCAGAGGCGGCCAGCGACTCTTGGGGGTAAGTGGAGACCGAGCTGGAGGCAGAGCTGGAACTGAGTGGAAGGGACTGCCTCCATCTTTCCTCCCTCCTCCCACCTCGCAGCCTTTTACTCTGTCCAGAGGCCCCATAGCCATTAGCTAGCCTTTGTTCCCATTTCATAGATGAGAAAACTGAGGTTCAGGGAGATGGAGAGTAGATGGCAGAGCCAGGATTCCAACCCAGGGCAGACCTCGGGGAACTTGCCTTGGTCACTGGTACTCCGCCATGTGTCTGCTCCACCCCAGTCTGGCTTTAGCCCCCAGGACCCACGTCACCCCTGCTACGTTCCCCAGCTCTGCCCAGTGAGAAGGGTGGCACTTGTTGTGACTAGAGAGGACAGGAAGTCCAGGGAGAAAGCATGATTGATTCCGGGTGACCCGGAGCTGGGGACATTGTAGTTGTGACACTATCACCCCTGGGTGTGGCTAGGATAGGGCTGAAGTCCTACTACATAGAATGTGCTCGAACCTGCCTAATCTCTGAGGCGCCCAGGACCCGGCTGGCTTCTGTCAGCTGAGGCTCCACAGGGTCCTGAGGAGCCGGGGCTGGGACTGCCTCCTCCTCTTTCTTTTCTTCCTCCTCTTCCTCCTCCTGGCCCTCCTCCCCAGACAGGGTGTCCTCCACCTGGGTGGGCTGTAAAGATATAAAGATTGAAGGACACAGGGGTACCAGCTGTCACCAGATCCTGGGCTCAAAAGTCAGGGCTGCCTTGGCCCCTGTCCAGACCGCTGCCAGCCCAGCCCAGCAGAGTGGGGAAGCACCCACCACAAGCAAGACTCTGTCCCTGCTTCCAACCTGCTTCCTCCTGACTGGCTACTGCTAATGAAGGAAGGGGGTGGGCAAAGGCCCTTCACAGCACCTCTCAGATGGGCACCACCATCTGTTGCCAGTTTGCTCTCGCACCAGGCTCCAAACTAAGCCTGGAAGAGGGCAGAAGGGCAGGTAGGAGTCTGGTCTACTGCAGCTGTGTGTGTTTGGATGTGAAGTAGTGGCTGAAACAATCAATCACAAGAAGGGCAGACGCTAGCACCAAGGTCCAGAACTCTGTGCCCAGGCCTGTGTGATGAGCCTGCTGTGAGGGGTCTCTCTGAATTCTCCCTGTACCCTGAGAAGGTACCACTGACTTCTATATCATATGGGGAAGCTCTGGGACTCACTTTCAGTCAGTGAAGAGATATGTGCAGTCTCTTGGCTCCCTGCAGAGTGTGTGTTCGCCCACAGGAGTTGTATGTTGCTTGAAATAGAGGTACGTGTGTGGGCAGCTTGGCGTGCTGACTGTCAGTGCGCTTTGAGTGAGCTGGGGTTATATACACACGCGTGGGTATCAGTGGGCACGGATGCTAGTGTTGTCATTCTCATTCAATTAGCTGAGCTTCCAGACTTTACCATGGCGTGTTTGAGTGTGTGTGCTCACACATGTGAGCAGGCCTGAACACAATAACATAAGGTCCATCATAGAAGGAGACACCCATCTGGGAAGGAATACTAGTACGCCCCCTCCTTACCCCCTCCATTACTCAGGTTCACACCTGCAGAGATCCTCACTGTGGAATAGTCTCCCCAAAGGGACAACAACAGTGGTCTGTCCCCTTGGGGGGGTGTATCAGGACCTTAGGGTTACTCCAGGTCCTAAGTCAGCCCTTGTTTTAAAGCCCCAGCCAGCTGGGAAGGACTTGAGTGAAGTAAACAAACACACACACACACACACACACACACACAAACACACACACACATCTTCACCCTCGCCCGTGCCCCTCCCTGCTTGGAGATTCCACCCCCTTCCCAAGTGAACCCCCAGCCTGAGCGGAGCCCTTACCAGCTGAGTGTACCGCCATCTTCGGCTTTTCATTCTCCTGTCACAGCCCAGGACAGGGGCCGGTCCTTAGCCCTGAGGGAGGAAATGCTGCGAGGCAAAGCCAGTGATGAGGAGGTGCCTGGGCACTCCCCTCTGGCTCCATGCCTACTCAGCTGCCCTTTGCTCCCGCTCACCTGTGAGCCCCAGACCAAATGGCCCCTGGGTGGGTCTGTGAGCCACTCGACATTCAAGGTCTCATGAGCATCAACCACATGGGAGTTGTACACAGTAAATTCCAGTTGTGAATTAGGGGCCACTTCAGTTTCTTTTCTAATGGTCTAGCCTAGACACACTGATGTTTTTCCTTGGATACCTATGGCCCAGACTAGGGATCCAGGACCCCAATTCCATGAGCAGCTGAAAATAAAATCATTTGCACCCCAAGCCTCAATTTCCCAGTACGTAATATTTAAAAATTATCAAGCGAGGAGCAGTGGTGCACACATTTAATGCCAGCACTTGGGAGGCAGAAGCAGATAGAGCTCTGTGAGTTCAAGGCCAGCATGGTCTTCATATAGAGTTTCAGGTCAGCCAGGGCTACACAAGGAGACTCTGTCTTGAAAAAAAAAAAACCAACCAAGGCCAGAGGGAAACTACCGGAAGTCACCTTCCGCCTTCCACCTTTGAACTCGGGTCAACAGGCTTGCATGGTAAGCATGCTCACCCACAGAGCCACCTCACTGCCCCGCTATATAACGTTTAACTCACTGGACCAGAAACCTCAGAAGGCTTTCCAGGACTGGCAGGCAGCAATTCATGTCCTCTCAAAGCCAAGGAGCTGCTGTGTGTAGCAAAAGCCTGAAGGGGCATGCCGGGACAAAAGAGCCACGGTTTTCCCAAGGGTGTGGCTCAGCAGTAGGGGCTGTCTAGCCTGCATGAGGCCCTGAATCCAATTTCTAGGATAAAGAGAAAGAAAGGGAAAGGGGGGAGGAAGGGAGGAAGGAAGGAGAAAAGGAAATGAAGGAAGGGAAGGGATGGAAGGGAGGGGGAGAAAAAGAGCACAGACCATAGCTCAGGGGTAGTGGCGAATCACAACCCTCCCACATACCTCCACTCTCAACCCAACACAGGTCCCTCCCTTCCAGGGTAGCTTACTCCCAGTGTGCATAAGGACCTGGGAAAATGGGGAGAGGAAGAGAAGAGATTGGAGGGGGGGCAAGGGAGAGGAAGAGGGAGGGAGGGAGAGAAAGAGAGATTTACCCCTTATTGAGTTAAGCAACCTTGGGCAGGTTTTCCCACACACTCCTCATTTGTAAGCACACAAGCATCTATCTCGTGAGGATGAAGATAATGCCCTGAGAATCAGGATGCTGAGCCTCCATCCTCCCTCTTCTGTGCTGAGTTCTGTGTGGGAACCCATAGCACCTGATGTTTGATGCATCTGGATAAATGCCAGTATTTATTACACCTGCCTCTCGGAGAAATCCAGTGTCCACTCCCTGGCAAGAGGCCACTTGGCCTCCACTTGGGATCCTCAATCAAATAAGGTGAGGCACAGTGGGGGAAGGGAAACCAGGAGCTGGGGAAGAGGGTGGCTGAAGGTACTCACCCCAACAATCCCTGATGACCCTCCGATGGTCTCCCCAGTCCCTCAAAGAGAAGGTCACACTCAAAATGACCTATCTACCTTGCTGTCTGGACACGGTGACTCTAGTCCCAACTCCTGTCCTCTCTGTGTGACTGGTGTCTCTGACTGGCCCTGGCTCTAGCCCTTCTCCCTACTTCTTATACCTGCCCCAAGGCAGCAGGCCCTGGCCCCATGGCAGGCAGTTCCAACTGAGAAGGTGCCAATGATTACCGTACATCAGAAACTCAAATCGCACAAACACACTAACAAGACCTTGACGACTCCGTGGGTCCCAAGCTCCATCACCATCAGCTGAAAGAGGGGGAGAAGATACCAGATTTTGTGTCTCCAACCTCCTTCTCACTGGCTCCTAAATACTACTGGTTGCCTGATGCCTGCCAAGGAGGTCAGTCCTCTAAATTGAGGTTAGAATCTGTGACATGCACTTGACACAAGAAAGGGCTATCCTGAGGGTTCCCCACGAATCACCCCAAGCTGTAGGTGATTCCTTCCCAGGCGGGATAAGAACTTTCCTCTTTGGCCTGGGGTACATTTGACCTGGGGACATTTGGCAAGGTGTCTCACAGGAAGCCCACACAGTGTCTGGCACACAGTGGGCACACTGCTAGAAGACTGTCCTGTTGGCCATCAGGTGACTTGGGCCTCATTCCCTCCAGGAAGTGTGACGTGCTAAGGACCTGTATTATAGGGAAAACAGGAAAGTGAAGGGCCCTGTTGTTACCTCAAACATGGCTGTTGCAATGGGTGTTTGAGCTGTAAACAGCGCATGGTCACAGGCCTGGCACTTCCTCCTCCCTTCACCCTGTTTCTTTCTTTTTTTTCATTTTTGTTTTTTTGAGACAGGGTCTCGCTATGTAGCCCTGGCTGTCCTGGAACTCACTCTGTTGACCAGGCTGGCCTCGAACTCACAGAGATCTCCTCTTCTGCCTCCCCCATTGCCTTTTGTAGTCCCCCTTTCCTCCCACATTTAACACCTGAGCACCAAGCTCTATGACTGACCAACGTGTTTGCCTGGCTGCCCCATCCTCATGTCAGGAAGATTCAGTGTGTCATTGAACAGGACTGTCCCTTGCCGGGTCACAGCCCCTTAAGAGATGCCACTGTCAAATCCCTGCAGCCCCTTCACCTTTCTCCTTCACCAGACCTTGCTCAGCTCCTTTCAGAACACAACCTTCACCCCCAGGAATGACTTTTGTCTTGTGCAGAAAATTGAACCCAGGGCCTTAGCATGCTGGGCAAGCATCCTATAATTGATCTATGTCCCCAGATCTTTTTCAAGAGAGGATTTTGCTCCATAGCCAAGGCCGACCTAGCATTCACTGTAATGCCTTGAGATTTTGTGTGTATGGGGGGGGGGGGATATTAATTTTATTGCATAGGTATGAGTATTTGCCTGCTTGTCTGTACCTTCACCGTATTTGTGCCTGATGCCCAGGAGGTCAGAAGTGGGTATCGGATCCCTTGGGCCTAGAGTTACAAATAGCTGTGAGTCACCAAGTGTGTACAGGAAACTGAACCTGAGTCACAAGCAACAAGCGTGAGCCATCTCTCCAGCGCCTGCCTCGAATTCTTGGTCCACCTGCCTTCACCTCCTAAATGTGGGAATCGTATGTGTTTAGCACCTCCAGGAAGAGTTTAAGTATACAGTAGAGGGGAAAGGTGAATGGGCGTGGAGCTCCCTCTCTTGGGGATTATTTTCAGTTCTGAAAACAGGCTTGCAAAGGGTTTCGGAATGTGAGGGAATGTTTTCTCTACTCTGATAAGAGCAGAATCTAAAATTCAGTATGATTTTAGCAACATAAGAGAAAGGGGGGGAGGAGAGAGAGAGAGGACCAAGAGAACACACTTGTGTTCACCAGGCCACCCGGCTATTCTCTGACGCCCAGCTGGGTGTGGAGCCAATGTGACAACTCCCGCCGGCACACTGGGAAGTCAGTTTCCAGTTTCTGAGGTCACTTTTTTTTTTTTTTTGGTTTTTCGAGACAGGGTTTCTCTGTGGCTTTGGAGCCTGTCCTGGAACTAGCTCTCTAGACCAGGCTGGTCTCGAACTCACAGAGATCCACCTGCCTCTGCCTCCCGAGTGCTGGGATTAAAGGCGTGCGCCACCATCGCCCGGCCTGAGGTCACTTTTGCATCCAGATTTCATCCTCCTCAACCCTGACCCCCAGCTGATGTCTTCTGCTGGTTGGCCCATCTTCCTCTGCCTTCCTAAGGGTTAGTGGAGGGTGTGCCCTTCTGAAGCCAAGCTGGCTCCCTCTACTCTCCTGACTCTGCTTCCTCTTCTTTGCTGATCCTGTGGTCTCCCGTGAGCATGCCACTTCCCCTACACTCTACCTCTCCTCACTCTGCCATGTCCTGTGGCTCTGTCCCCACACCTCTACACTGTGAGGCCCCAGCCGCCTCCTCTCAACCTGCCCGACTCCTTGGCTTTGGCAGGGACCACTTTCTCTTCTTTTAACTGTTTTCTTGAGCCAGAAATGCTTAACTTTCTGGTTCTGGACCAGCTTTCCTCTCCCCAGACCCTGTCCCTGAGTAACTTTCTCCAGTTTCAAAGTGAATCTTTTCTTTTATTGAGACAGGGTCTCATTGTAGCCCAATCTGGCCTCAGACACACTATGTAGCCTATGATGACGTTGAAACTCTGGTCCTCTTGCCTCCACCTTCTGAGTTCTGGGATTACAGAGGCATGGACCACCACGGCTGGTTTTATGTGATGCTGGAGATGGAAGCCAGAGCCCTGTGCATGCTAAACGAACATGCCACCAACTGAGCAACATCTCCAGCTCTCCAAAGTGAATATTTTCTTGACTCCTCCAGATCTTGTTGCTGGCATGGCCTCGCATGCCTGTGCCACTGCTTTTCTGGGTCTCTATTTGGACATCTCCACAGATGCTTCAAACCCACCATGTCCTATGGACTGAGTCTCTCTTGCCTTCTGACACCTCCCGGCCTCTGTCCTGCTAAAGCAAATGGTGCTGTCATTTGTTCTCTAGATAGTGATGGGGAGAGAACTTGACATCACTTCTCCGAGTCCTCTCTTGCAGCCAAGAGTGACTGGTTCTTCAAACAGAACGATCCTTTCTCCATGGCTTCTAGATGCATCCGAGCTCCCTTAGCTCCCAGAGCCAGCATCTGGACTTGTCAGCGAAGGGACCTACTTCCGGACATAACTAGATGGTGTGACTTCCTGCTTGCAAGTTTCCAGTGTTTGTCTCTGCATCAGTGATAATCCCCTGCCTATGTCTGCCTGCTTCCTGCTTTCCACTCTGTCTTTTCCTTCCTTGTCTCCAGGGGGCTCCAGCCACACTAACCACCCCTCCCCAGCATCTGTCACACTTTCTCCTCCTCCAGGGACTTTGCCCTTGTTCTTCAGTCTGCCCCAGATTCTCTTCCCAGGCCCTTTGGCTAACTCGGCATACAGGCCACCTCCTCAGAGAGGGTTCCCAGATAACCCTATTCAGGGGGGTTTCCCTCTCATCCCCTAACCAGTGGCTTATTTCTTTCATGATTTGTAGGATGAAAACAACCTTCACTTTAGTTAGAAAGGGACACCTCATTTTGGAAGCCTTCCAGGAGTTGGCTTCCATTTTTTTCCACCCTCTTGGTCAATTTAGCAGCTTGAATGGGAGAGCTCTGGGGTCGTTGTCCCCTTTGTTTCTAACGACCTGACAGTAAAGCTATCACTGAATGCTTCTTCTTTGACCAGCAATTTTTACAGCACCCACTGGGTGCTTCAGACGACCAGTTTGTAGAGGGTGTTGGAATAGGACAGCCTGTGGTCAAACGACCCGAGCCAGGCCATTGCCACACTGTATGGCCCTGACTGTGGGTGCTTTGCTTTGCAGTTTGGGCAGGGCTGGTGACAGAATCCCCTTCTGCTCCACTCCTCACTGGGTGACTGCGGGCTGCCTGTGGAGCATCTGCCAGCTCTCAGGTCGGCTGGCCAGTGGGGACTAGGGCTGGAGTTGTTGGCTGGACCGCCTTCACGTGGCCGTCTCACGAGACGGAAACTTCCTCTCCACATGTCGCTTGGATACCAAGGATGAATGAAGAACAAGAGCAATAGAGAGAGCACAGGAGTGTGAGAGAGAGGCCGTGTCTCAGAGGTCTTCTACCCAGACTGAAGGGCAGGAAGCAGACCCTGTGGCTGTTGGAAGTGTCGGTGTCACTGTGAGAAGATCGATTGGTTGGATGGAGAGCATCAAGTCCTGAAAGGTGTCCTCCGACCTTCACATGTGTGCCACACACATTAATAATAATAATAAAAGAGCAATTGGAATGTATATCCACGTGCTTTTTTTTTTTTTCCGGAAAATGCGACCAGAGAGAAGTTCCTACATGGTGAGGGCTGTAGGGGAAGGCAGAGGTGAAGAAAGTATAAGGAACCCTGAAAAGTTAGCTACTCGGTTAAGAAAAAAAAACAAAACAAAAAACCACGGGTAGGAAAGAAACCACGCCCACCAGGACTAGGGTCTGTAGGACTCAGGGACACAGTCTTCAGGCCATGCCAGCCTCCATTCGGCCCAGAATCTGCCTCCATCTCCCAAGCATCCAATGGTCTGGCATCCATAAGGCACAGCCTCAAGTTTCATCGCAAAGACCTTGAAACTGGGGTGGGGGAGGCAGGACTCTGCTTGGGATTGCAGACGGTCAGGGTACGCAGAGTTCAGTATGCACTCGGGGTCACTATGACAGCGGTCAGGCAGCAGAGGCAGGAAGAGTCCAGTACACTCTGGAGACATGGGGTTCGGGCTCCATCCAACCTGGTTCCTTCTTCCGCTGACCAAGAGCCGACCGCGTGCCTGGTCATGCTTCAGTTTACCGTTCTATAGGATGGGATCGTTTGTCATGCCCAGCTAAAGGGGGCGGAGTTCGCGCAGGCTCAGCACCCGCAAGGGGCACGCGGCGCGGTGCTGGGTGTGCATGGATGCTGCTGGCTCCGGCCGTTTGAGGTCCGCGGGGCCTCTGCCGGGAAATATCATCGCCTGCCGTCCACGAGGCCCCCACGGCGACGCCAGACTCTCAGGATCCACGGCCGGGTGCGATTCCCCAGCTCGCAGGGGAGCGGCCAGTGGCCAGGAGCTGCCCGGGCGAGCCGAGGCCGCGGCTGCCCGGGCCTGCCTGACCCTCGAGGGGGTCGCTGTTGCCTCGCGGATTCCTCCCTCGTTCCCCGCCCGCGTCCCTCCCCGCTGCTCCCGCCGCGTCCGCCTTTTGTTCGCCGAGCCGCGCGCCCCCGAGCCGAGGCGGCGGGGCGGGGAACTGGCTGGGCTGCGTGGGGGGCGGGCCGCGCCGGGCGGAGCCGGGGCCCTGGCCTCAGCCGGACTGGGAGTCCGAGGCGGCGATCGCCGATCAGGCGGTAGCCGGGGTCCGGGCTCGCTCCGAGGGCGCGGCGAGGCGGAGGGGGCGGGCACCGGGCGGAGCCGGAGCCGGAGTCGCGGTGCCTGGAGGAGATCGGGCCGCGCGCTGCGAGCACCAAGTAGCGGAGAGGCCGCGCGGCGCGGGCCAGGGCCCGAGCGCAGTCCCCGGACGCAGGAGGCCGGAGCGCAGTCGCGGCCTGAGCAGCGGGAGCGCATCCGGGACCCGCCGCAGGGACCCCCAGACCGGCCGCTCCCGGGCCATGCGCGCCGCTCGCTGAGAGCCGGGGAGGCCGCGATGGAGGCGCCAGCGGGAGAGTCATCGGCGCGGGGCAACTGCCCCCCGCCTGCACCCGCGCCCCCCACGGAAAGGAAGAAGAGCCACCGCGCGCCGTCGCCAGCCCGGCCCAAGGACGTGGCCGGCTGGTCTCTGGCCAAGGGCCGCCGTGGCACAGGCCCGGGCGCCGCTGCAGCCTGTGGTGCCGCGTCCTCGGCGAGGCCAGACAAGAAGGGGCGCGCGGTGACGCCCGGAGCCCGGGGCGCGGGGCCGCGAGTGGCCGGGGTGCGCACGGGGGTCCGCGCCAAGGGCCGCCCTCGTCCGGGTACCGGGCCGCGCCCGCCGCCGCCGCCGCCCAGCCTCACCGACAGCAGCTCCGAGGTGTCGGACTGCGCGTCGGAGGAGGCGCGCCTGCTGGGCCTGGAGCTGGCGCTGAGCAGCGACGCCGAGTCTGCGGCGGGTGGCCCGGCGGGGACCCGCACCGGGCAGCCACCCCAGCCCGCGCCGTCGGGGCAGCAGCCTCCGCGGCCGCCCACCTCCCCGGATGAGCCGTCGGTGGCCGCATCGTCGGTGGGCAGCAGTCGCCTGCCACTCAGCGCCTCGCTCGCCTTCTCCGACCTCACCGAGGAGATGTTGGACTGCGGGCCCGGCGGCTTGGTGCGGGAGCTGGAAGAGCTGCGCTCCGAGAACGACTATCTCAAGGTGGGGACCTAGCGGGAAAGGGGAGTCGAAGGGTTTGGGGGAGGAGGACCTTACCATCCTGGCTCAAGCGCCCCAGGGCCTGAGGCCCTGAGGCCACAACCGGCAGCTTTAATACTGAATAAGCTGAGAGAGAGTGCCCCACCTCCTTTTGCTACTCTTCTCCTGAGGGGTATCTTGAATAAGACACCGACTGAAGGGCCCCGATGTGCACCCCCATTTCTCCTCCCCCGGTAAAACTGCCGTGGAGGATGCTCGGTAAGTGTGTTGGGGGGCGGGGGTTAGTCAGTCTCTGCTGACCTCTGCTTTAGTCTGGGATCTCGACCCAGGTCAGCAGGCTCTCCTTTCTGTGGCCAACATTAGTGTGTCTGGCTGCCAAGGAAACCGTGGCTATCCTCTGGCAAGGAGAGCCAGAATACCATCCTAAGTCTTTTACCCAGGGCTTCCCCGGCAGGCCTGTCCTCGCCTGCCTTTTGGGGCGGGACCGGTTTGAAAGCATGACATCTGGGAACATCCCCTTGGCTGGAGTCCACTTCCGCCCAGTCTAACGGTCCCACAGCCTGAGAGGATGATGTCGTGGGAGAACTGGTTCAGAGGCCACTTCCTCAATCCCAGGATATTGTCTTCTGTCCCTTCTGAGAGAGACTTGGGCAGACAGGGCCCGTGTTCCCTGTGTGAGGAGGGAAGCTGCCCTCGTGGATAGGGGTATTCCCTTTGGGACTGGAGAGCTGCCTGGGAAAAACAACCGGCTGTGCCTGGGCACCTAGGTGCAGCCCATGCTCTGGCTGCCTGTTCTGTGACACAGTGGCAGCTATGGGGATAGCCCTGCCCTGGCTTCTTGACCTTGGTGTGGGAAGCTGGAATCTTCGGGGGCTGTACTGCCACTGCTGGAAGAGACAGCAGTGTTGCCTGCACTTGTCGGTTGAAGGCCTGGCCAGCAGCCATGGAGTTCACAGCACTCTAATGACATGTCTGCCCTGCAGCACTTAACTGCCTCCTGGTTCTACCGTCTAGGAGGGTTTCTTCGTCATAGGCGTGTCAGGGCGTCGCTCTTGCCTTGCTTTGCATCCTCCGTTCCGTATGTTCTCAGTAAACTTCTGTACACTAGAGAGCACAGGTCCATCCGAGAAACGATCGTCTGCTCCCGGCTCCCAGCCTGAACCTTCCCCAGGCCAGGCCTCCATTCTTTTTCTGTGACATGGGAGTATGAGTCTTGGCAAAGGCTGTGGATGATCGGGGGTTGGGTCAGCCTGTGGAGTCTTCTGAAGTCAGTGGTAAGAAGAGTGGGGGTGGAAAGATGGAGGCAGCCTCCTGGATGCCCCTCGCAGCTTCCTGCATCCCAGCCTGAGCTACTCCAGACCTGGACCTGAGTTCCTCACTCCAGCAAATGAGGACAACTCGTAGTTCTTGGTTTGATTTCTTCCTGTTCTCATCCTGGATCCCTTCCTTTGTTGCCAGGAAGTGGTCAGACAGAGCCCTGACCTCCATCTGAAGCTACCCATGAACATGCATGGGAAAGCAATCCCAGGGGTTGAGACCAGGACCCACCCAGGGACATTCCAGTTCGGAGTCAGGTTGAGCCTGGGTTTCTACCATTCATTCAGTGCTGGAGTCTTGGTATACAAGCTCTGGGCCACTGCTGGATCTGTAGCTAGTCTGTGTGGTCTTGGGCACCTTACTTCCCGTGTTTGGAACTGAGTTTTCTCATCTTTTTTTAAAAATATTTATTTATTTATTATGTATACAATATTCTTTCTGTGTGTATGCCTGCAGGCCAGAAGAGTGCACCAGACCTCATTACAGATGGGTGTGAGCCACCATGTGGTTGCTGGGAATTGAACTCGGGACCTTTGGAAGAGCAGGCAATACTCTTAACCTCTGAGCCATCTCTCCAGCCCAAGTTTTCTCATCTTAAGAGTTAAACAGTTACACACAGATCATCCTTAAAGATTAAATGTGCACGTAGTTAGAGCACTTGGCACATTGTATGTTTCTATCAGATTCCTAGCCTGATATCACTTGCTGCTCTTGGGATGGAGAACGTGTTTCCTTGTGCGTCTGTCATGTTCTTCTGTAGATTCTGTGGGAGCAGACTGGGCTCTTCCTCGTGACTTTGAATCCATCCATCCTTCCATCCATCCATCCATTCACTTGCTGTTTGCTTAGAGCTTAGCAGCACAGTGCAGATTTGGGGGTGTAACTGTGACCTAGGCAGAGCCTCTGGAGAGACCAGCCTTAAACAATAGTTGCAACAAAACACAATATGGCTGGTGATAAGGGTGAGATGGCTAATTGTGCCCAGAGCACATGGAGGTGGGGCTGGGGACTTGGGGAGGCCAGGAGCTGAGGATGGAGCCAACAAAATAAGGGTCTGTAGTAGAACACTACAATCAAGTTGGGAAAGTGTTGGGCAGGGAAGGGAGCCATGCTGGCTCTTGCATGCATTAGTGCAGTACCCACACTGCTCCAGGCAGCCAAAACAGGGAGTAAGGGAGCATCAGCCTCCTGTGTGTTTCCTGCCTCTCCAGACTGCTTTACATCTGAGGTGCAGAAACAGGGTAAGGAAGAAAGTGACTCCAAATCCCCAGCACATCTACTGCAGACTGACGGCATGAACTGAAGGGAATGCCCAGGACTCTGGGTGGTTCGGTTCCCATTCCCCTTCCATTGCGCTAGGGGTGTCGGGGTAGGGGTACCTGACAACCAAGAAGGGAAGCCTTGCTCTGGGGCCCAAGTGAGGGTGGTACAGGCTCTGCCAGTGATAAGACAGAAAGTGCTTCTCCAGGGAAGGTGGTGAGCTTGGTGCCGTTGGAACTATCCAGAGAGAGGCCTGGTACAAGCATTGGGTTTGTGCAGAGCATTGTGTAAACGGCCCAGATATTGGTTATGATCACTGGGGAGCAAATGGAGAAGGCCGGTGGCTGCAGTATATCTGACGAGGGTCCCTTCTGGTCAAGGTGCCTGAGGTAATCCCTGGGGATGTTCAGGACCCAGAAATACGACTTTAGTCAGGTTGACTGTGCTTGACTTTGAAAGCCTCAGTGGCCTAAGGTTCCTTTGACCAATAACTATTGCCCATGTGCCATGCGGAGCTCAAAGAGCTGGCTGTGAGACCTGAGTCTACCACTTATTGTGTGGTCATGGACATGTGGCCGGGCTCTCTGAACTGCTGTGTTTTTCATCTGTCTAATGGAGATGGTAGGGTGTGCCTGGACTGTCTCCAGGGATTGTTTTCAGCAGTCAGGGAGAGGTGTACAGTCAGGAAAACATCTCCTAAGCGAAGTCCTTTTGTCTCGTGAGGAATTGTTATGATTCTGAGCCAATGAGCAGACGGGATGTCTGAGTGTTGGTTATTGGAGGAACTGGGAGGAGCCAGGAGGGTGGGTTTCCTTAGCCCTCCAGTGTTACTACGTCGGGTGCTACTTTGGGGGAACAGGAAGGCATAATCATATTTCCCACTGCACAGGTAGGGAGAGGCTTCCCACTAGGTTTCCAACTGTGAGTGACAGATGCCACTCACAAGGGTCCAGAGGAAACCCCTCACTGACTGGCGATTGCCGTTATATAGAGAGGCAAGTGTTGGCTCCAGGGTTCTATCTTACAGCCAGCATTCCAACCCTGCAGTTCTATCTTGGTCCTATTCTTTGGTCGTGTGGCCGGCATGATTGAGCTTCTGGTTGCTCCTGACGTGTCTGGTCATGGATGAAGGTTGGTGAGAGGAAACCTGTGGGCCGGGTGCCAGGCTGATTTGTAGGGAGCAAATGGTGAGTGAGCTCATTTGGGGGAGTGTTTGCCTAGCGTGCACAAAGTGCTGGGCTCCATCCCTAGACCCTAGACCTGCATAAACCAGACATGCTGGCACACGCCTGTAATCCTGGCACTTGGGAGGCAGAGGCAGAAGGACAGACCAGAGGGCCATCCTCAGCTGCTTTGTGAGTTCAAGGCCAGCTTAGGCTAAGACTGTCTCAAAAACAAAATCCCAAAAGGCTGACATCCAAGCCGGCTGGTGGGCTGTGCCTCTAGAGGGATCACTAATGTAAAATGTGGGTTTGGTGTATCACGGACCTCTTCATTGTGAAGGTGCATGTCCATTGCTTGGTAAATGTGCTGACCTGGTCATGGTCCTTTCCTCTCTCCTCCTCCCCTCTGATGTCATCCCAGAGTCCTCTGAGTGGTAGGCCCCGGGCAGTTCTGCAAAACTCCTGGGAGGTATAGGAGGGACCCAGTCTGTTACCAAGTCAGCCCTGAGTTGCAGCTTCTGGCTGGGGTCGCAGGGCCAGGCAGGGCTTGGGAGTTGGAAAAAGCTTCAGCAGAGAGAAAATGATGTGGGAAGTGTGAGTGGCAGCTGCTGTGGCTGGGGAGACTGCAAAGCTTTGAGAGGGACTGGACACAAATAAACACACGTGTGCTCCTGCCGAGCTCAAGCCCAGAGACCGCAGCGCTCATGTCTGGCTGATGTACATATTCAGTGACTAATTTATGTTATATGTTTCCAGAGGCCAGCCTCCAGGCCTGCTCACTCGGGATTCACATGGAAAGCGGTATACAGACCAGTGTAGACAGACCCTTCCTGCCACACGCTACCGTACTCAACACATACCAGCAGGAGACCCAGGCTGAGAAGCACAGCCTCCTACACACAGCCTGGAGACACCCTCTGACACATGGGAAGTCCACATACGTGTGAAGGTGTGCCCACAAACACACACAGACATTATCTACACATACTAGCGTCCGTGGGAACCCAGGGACATCCTTGCCAGGTCACACAGACACAGGCTCACCCAGGTACCATGAGCTATCCCTTCCTCCAACAGCATCCAACCTTTGCACATGTGCCCGAGGTGCAACAGAGTCCAGGTGGTGCCCACAAAGAAGTTTACACATATGGGACAGACACAAACCTTCATACACATTAGCAGTGACTCAAGGGACAAGGGTAGGGCATGCAAATGTCAGATATGGTGTTTGCCTAACCAGGGCACCCAGACACACATGCACAC